TCCGCTTTATGTCTATCCATCTCATAGTTCAGTGTTAGAATTAAATTTCAATGAAAAATTACATAGAAACATTATTGGCCAAGTAGAATTTGAAGCGATTTAAAGACTGAGTTTTACAACAAAGTCGCAAGTAATTTAGCCATAACGACATAATAAATAATGTGGAAATGCAACACTTCTTATATTTCTTACCGAATTGGACATACTGTTCATACCAAATATAATTAAGTTTTGTACTGTCTAGGTTCAAACAAACGCTCACTTATTCATTTTATTACGAAAATTAATACAAATTTCTTTAAATGTTTGTAGAAACGTTTCCACTTTACGGAATTACTTATTTTATAACCAGATATTTTGAACCACGAGAAGTAAAAGGGAAATACTGATAACGTGAAAAGGTTTCAAAAACAAAATAATAATGACATGAAAAAAGCATTTTCTTTCTTATCAAGCAATCGTGTTGTCGAGTATTTTTAAATATAAAATTATTATAAAGATATCATGATAGTGAGATGTAAAATGTCTTTTCATTTTTAAAATATTTTTTCAAAAACAACAATATCACCAGCTCATTCCCGCAGGGAACACTGATACAACCATTCTCACTTTTGACATCCCAGACAATAGAAACTATTTGTTGTATATTTTTCCATGGTGAGAATATTAATTAACTTTTTAATTACAGCTTACTTACAACGTTTTTATAAGCGATACAGATGACTAGAATATTCTCTATTTCCAAGCAAAGTAAGGGTGATAATATAGTCTTAAATACTATGTTAATAATGAGACCAGACATAAACTAAACAAATAATGATTTATCAGCTTCACTAAAATACAAACTATGACATATTATTCTGATATCTCATTGTTTTTATTGCGGACTATGCTATCATGTATAGTTTTCTTTTAACATGCAATACACAAAATCAAAATAATCTTTATCTATATTTACATTTAAAATAATAAAGAGAAAGCTATTGTTTTTTTAAAACTCATTGAAAATATTTTTTTTATGAATATTTGAAAACTCGGACAACGGAAAACGAAAAAAAAAGTCCAACACCCAAATCTTTTGTTTCATGAAATTTTCTTAAAATTTTACACCAGATTTTTGTATAGTTTTTGTACTGATATAACACTTTACTAAAAATAGAGCTAGTTATTTTTTCTTCTTCGGCTCTTTTATCCACTGATTCAATTCTTGGAATAACAGAGCTACAACCTATTGTTATGTTAATTGCTCGTAATTAAAGAGTCCCAACATATGTTGACTAAAGATATATGTATGTGTATGTGTGATGGCAGCGGTATCAATGACCTCAACTAATTGTTTGTACACAGTCTAGGGATTAACAATCAAAATCAATTCAGAGTAAACGTGTTCAAGTAGAATACTTATTACAATCAACTGGAAATACTTTTTAATAAACGTTTTATATTATATAGATCATAGTTTGTAATTACGTCTTCATTCTTTAAAGGTTATATGTATCATCAAATTTTTCGTCTTTATAAAATCCTTGATATTTTTTTCCTACTGACAATAACAAAATATATGGGTGTGTGAGACGAAAATTGTTCTTCTTTAGACCTTGCAAAACTCGAAAAATAACTACAAAATTTCACACGTATGTTCTTATGAATATTTTCAAAGGATAACAATATAAGAATAATGCAATAATAGATATAATAGTGCGCTAAAAGCTCTTGACTGTTAGCAGGTAATCTCATTAGTACTTCAACATCTTGAGTGCACTTCCACTTTGTATTGTTAATCTTCATCTTTGTAAAGCTACATCAGTAGCAACTGTTGTAAATTATACTACGGAAATAAATAATTATATTATATGTAGTAACTTATAACACCAAAACATAAAAGTATTTAAGTTAGTCTAAAGTTTAGAAAACATTTTGTTTTCAAAGCTAAACAAATTGTACGTTATATTCCAGGTCATTCAATAAATTATTATTAATTTTAGAATTTAAATAATGAATCTTGAATTTATATTATAATAAACAATAACATTGTTTTGGTTATTGGGTAAATAATTTAAGAAAAAAATTATTCGTTGTTGTCAATATCACTGTATTGACATAAGTTTCACGGATTCAATTTACTTCTTTGTAGGCATGCTTTGTAACATCGGTGTTATTAATTTATCTAAAATCGTGTATTACTCGATATTGTATTCGCTATATAATAAAAGCATGTCTAAACCAATATTCAGTGGTGCGGAATGGAATTTATTTCTGAAATAAATTTATGGAAAGGCGAAGTTTTCAACGAAGGCATACTATCGCTTTTAGGGATGTTATTTCCTCTTCTCCGTCACTTCTAGGCTAAAACCCTGTCACTTGACACAATTCGGCTTCAAATATCTTCATTTATGACTCTATCAGACATAACGCACGCAGATCTCTTGTCCGCCTCACAAATCCTTTCATGGGCGACAACATCTGACATCCACAGTTTATCGTAAACGCAATTTTGTGATAATTTTAAGAATAATACTAAACTAGCTTTAAATTTTGTAAGAGATTAAGATTTTAATATAATTTTCTTAAATAATACACGTAAAAAAACGTTGGGGGATTATGATAAAATAATACACGTAAAAAAACGTTGGGGGATTATGATAAAAAATAATTATTTTCAGATAATTTTGTGGGTTCCTTCATGATTAAGGGTTACAGTAAAATAAACAAATCGTTGGGTACAATATTAATACATACAAAGAATTTTATCCAAATATAGATTAATTTCAAAATAAAACTGTTTCGTGTAGGTAAAAATAAATATTTACAAACAAGCTAAAGCTTGGATTTTGAAGCCTTTTATGGACCTCAAAAACTCATTACCTTTAAATATCGTTTGGAAAATATCCAAGTTATTTATATAAAAGGGTTTTAATTTATCTGTCCAACATTTAGATTTCAATTTGAAATAAGAAGTAATGATTTGTGAAATAACTCATAAATAATAGTGCATCTAATATCTATAATACATATGTTCATGATGATCTAATGCAGATTTGAATTTGATGACGTCAAAGCAATTGGTTACTGCATTGCTACAAATTAAAATTCGCGAGCCATAAACAGCGTTATAACATTAAAATAGTAAGAATTAATGTACAGATATTCAATATGTTGCAATCTAAATACATTATTAACATTCCATTTACTAAGCTCGGAAAGAATTAAATGTACATATTAATTAGAAAGTATTAAAGGTAATAGTTAATTTTATGTTTATGTTGATGCTGATTGTCGGTTTTACGCAATATTTGTTATTGACATTAAAATGTATACAGTTCATTAACTACAACATGTACTTGGATTTAACAATAATGTTGCTATTACCGATTTACCCCAAACAAAAATAATTCTACTTGAAATAAAATGGTAACCATCGCGTGTTATTATTTTTGTTGCTTAAATAATTAGTTAATAGCAAAATGACATTTACATAAGTTCGTGTCCAGAATTAATAAGAAGTTTAGGACTTCATAAGTTTCGAGTTGTGTAAAAATATTTTATTTGTGAAACGAAACTTGATAGAATTAGTTAAACGCATATCCTATATAGAAAGATTATTACAAAAATTTTTTTTTCCAATAAATAACAAACGGCTATTTGCATAGTACATTAAAAAAAGGTCAACCTTTTAAAACAACGTACTCTTAAAAAGTGTCACAGCGAGTCAGAGTTTTCATAAAAGTTAGTTTGTTCTTTGTCCAAAGAGTTTAACTGTAACATGAATCAGGGACTTTTTTCTGTTGAACTCTGTTTAAACTATATATTTTGTACTAAGAATAAATAGTATTTAATTCATAACAAATCAAGAATTAATCTCAAAGATCTGCTGCATGACTTGCAAAATTCAGTTATTTTAAACTCGGTGCATTTACCAAGATATCATTACTTCACAAAATAAAAAAAAATGTTGTGATCAAAACAAGAAATAACACATAGCATCTACTATTTCTTTTTCATATATTGAAATAATCATTGCGAAGATTTCCAATAGTGTGATCTATAAGTTTTTATTTAACTAAAACAATTTTTTGTGATATTTATATTTTTAACAACACGTTTCTTACACTTTGTAGTCACTCTAGTTACTGTCTTATAACTGTTAAAAAAAGACTAAAAAACTGTAATATTATATTTAAATTAGTAAAAAAACAAATACTAACATCGAAATTGTACCTTAATATTCCAAGTTTTGTGTCTAAATATATGTATAAGTTAAACTAATGCACTTTAATAATGAAATGTTAACAGAAGAGGTTTTTGGTTGGTCTTTGGCATTTGCTTTCTCAGTGAAGACGGCTATGTCATCATATCAAACTATACGAGTATATCAAACTATATATGTGAACAGCAATCTCTCCAGTTCAGCGCAATTTATAATAACATATCATATACTGTTCTTTTACAAGGTTCAGGTTTTTATTTCATTAGAAATAGATACTAACCTAACCTTAAATAAAATGTGGCATTGATAGTTTAATGAAATAACAAGCTAATTGAGATATCATACCAAACTGTCACACCAACTGTCACTAGTAATATTATACTTACTTGGATTTCGAGGAAAAATGTCCAAAATGCAGTGAAATGGTTTAATATAATTTACAAATATAATTATTCAAGCCATTAATCATATCTTCAAAAAAACTTACACCGGTACTTAAAATAATTTAAGTTAAATTTCTTTGAGTTAAATTTTGATTATTGCTACTTTTATTTAAGGTAAGGCCAAAAGCATTACCTTCAAAACATCTGTTCATTTGATTAAAGTACATAGAAAAGCAAATTCTTTACCAATTTCATATAAATAAATAATAAATATTAATTTTAAAGATCAGTTGGTCGACCAGTTGGACGATCAGTTGGTCAACTAGTTGGACGATCAATTGGTCGACCAGTTGGACGATCAGTTGGTCGATCAGTTGGACGATCAGTTGGTCAACCAGTTGGTCGATTAGTTGGTCGATCAGTTTGACGATCAGTTGGTCGATCAGTTGGTCGATCAGTTGGTCGATCAGTTGGTCGATCAGTTGGACGATCAGTTGGTCGATCAGTTGGTCGATCAGTTGGTCGATCAGTTGATCGACCAGTTGGACGATCAGTTGGTCGACCAGTTGGACGATCAGTTGGTCGATCAGTTGGTCGATCAGTTGGTCGATCAGTTGGACAATCAGTTGGTCGACCAGTTGGTCGATCAGTTGGTCGATCAGTTGGTCGATCAGTTGGACGACCAGTTGGTCGACCAGTTGGTCGATCAGTTGGACGATCAGTTGGTCGATCAGTTGGTCGATCAGTTGGACGATCAGTTGGTCGAGCAGTTGGTCGATCAGTTGGTCAATCAGTTGGTCGATCAGTTGGTCGATCAGTTGGACGATCAGTTGGTCAATCAGTTGGTCGATCAGTTGGTCGATCAGTTGGACGATCAGTTGGTCGATCAGTTGGTCGATCAGTTGGTCAATCAGTTGGTCGATCAGTTGGTCGATCAGTTGGTCGATCAGTTGGACGATCAGTTGCCCGACTAGTCTATATATATAAAAGAAAGTCGTGTTAGTGACTCCACTTATAACCCAAGAACGGCTAAACTTGAACACTTCAATGAAACGGATAATTTGCGGACACGTATAACGCTTCGATTCGGTATCTACTTTGGATTCACTTTCATTTACTTAGAGAAGTTCAACTAAATAACACTTCATTTTTGTAATCGAAATGAATTCATTACTGTTGTGAAATGAAATAAAAATTTTCCTTTTGAAATATAAAACAAAAAATTCTTCATCTTTTAATCACCAAACGAAATTTTATATAAAAGCCTTCTGGTGGCGAAACGGAGTTCGCCAGGTTTACTAGTAATACTATAAAAAGGAGTGCACTTCATTTTAGGAGACAAATCTTGGGTAGTTAAAGGATACGTGACCGAAACATGAATAAAAAGTATTTACTAGTTCCTTAAGTTAAATAAGAATTATAGTGCCGGAGAACTCTAAATTCTAGATATATTTCAAGAAATCGCTTAAACTTTTCGATCAGAAAACACGAAATACAAGACTCCTAACTTAAGGGTAATAGGGGCATATGGCGACTCAAATGATTTCACAATATGCGTGATGTTTCGAATCCGAGTCTTTAAACCTAGAAGAAGCTGGATCCAAATAATTTAATCCAGGTAAAACAAAGAATAAGGCCAAATAAACAAATGTGTGAGGACTATATCGACTACAGAGGTTAACAACTTATATTATACAGTAAGATAATCCTATTGAAATACCTTGAGGTAATACTCACGACCTCGAAGATACAAAGATGCTTTTAATGGCCAACGAATATTTTATTAAAATTAATATAAGCTCGACAACGAGGTGACTAGACAACGATACACTATAATAATATTCTTTGGAAGTATTGAGAAAACACGGAGAACTTCGATTCCTTTTTTATTAACTACAGAAAGAAAGAAAAATATCGAGAAAACAAATGGTCATATTTAAAACTAAAAAACTGGAAATATATAAATTCCTTTAAATTATAATAACACAATGAACAAAATTTCATGAGTTTTCAAAAGATTTGTACTAATGGTTCAAAAGATTTGTACTAACTAATGGTGAAAATATTTGTGTTCGACAACTTTTAACGTGTTTTATGTAAACAGATTTAATACTCAAAATCTCGATGACTTTTTCGAGTTGTAATAAAATAATGTTTCATTTATTCCGAATCAATTACGTATTCTACTTGATTGTAAGTTTTAAACAAAAGGTAAATGTGTGGAAATGGGGTGATATGAGTCATAAAATAATTGTTTGAAACGGAAGGATAACAATGTTTGAATGAAATATGATTCTGAACTGATAAACTGTTGGCGGACAGACCCTTAATAACATTAAAATCGGTCTACGATAAACAGAAAATGTAAAGTTTCATAAATAATATTCAACTTTTATGAAATTTAAGGTTTCAAAATATTTCTAAAGTACTTTAGTATTCTTCGACTAACGGGAGCCAACAAATTCGATGTGGTGAAATTTTTAATCACAAAAGTTTTGTACTTGCAGGTTCTTAGCGGTTCTTAAGAATTTATAAGAGAGCGTTGAATTTTGTTTTGTTATTTAAAAGTTATTAAACGTTTTATTAAACAAACTCTATAACATTAAGTTTAGTATACATTTTTGAAGTGTATAAAATTGTTCAGCTTATTTTACGCCGAACTGTTTTTCTTTTAATCGACACAAGGACTCTTTTCACGTGTCTTACTATATCGATGTTTTTATAATCGAATACTATGAACTTGTTTTGTATTAAATTACATTTCCTTGAAATTACAACACTAAAATTATGATAAAATGTTTCTTGATTAATTTAACGTAGGAATGTATCAGCATAGAGATATTTAATATTTTACACAAAAAACGTGATTAATGTGGAGCGTGGGTATATGAGGAATTATAAACCAAAAATAGTGCTAAGACGACTTGATTAAAATATTTCTGCTTTATATTGACTTGTTTATTTTTAATCTAAGGAGTAAGATTATATTATGTAGTCAAATTAAAATATTTACCACGTAATACGTGTTTCTATCTAGGATTACATATTTTAAAATAATATGAAATGCTTTAAATAGTATAATTCAGTTACCTTCACTTTTGTAAACCGTAATTGAAATGTATAAGGAAATTGATAACGCATTTTATAAGAATTTGTACGGTAATAACTCATAAATAGATCAAGTTCACTCGCTTCCTTCATTATAAATAAGTAAGACATACCTAATAGAATATAATAGTTTATAAAACTTTGGTGCGAGTGAATCTGTTAAAAACGCATACTTACTCATTAAGAGTGTTTATCATTTAAATTTTAAACATAATATGTATTACATATATACTAGAATAACTCTTCGTATAACGTTTTTTACTCCCTTATTATCTGACCACATCTTGGTCAAAGTCTTGTAATTATATTGCGTTTTACTCTCTTCTATTTGAGAAATTTACAAAAAATGTTATCGAAATTATCTCGGAACTTTTAACTCATAGAGTAAAGTTATATGCACTCATAAAACCATAATATTTATAATATTGATAGGGTTTTGAAGTTTAAAATATATCAGTATTGATATTTTAAACGAAGCTGATACGGAATCTAATAAATCTCCATCTTTCAAAGAAACTGTAATCCTTTAGGACTAACTCAGTTATATATCAATCGATGTCACCAAAGTTTTGTTAGAAACTAGAAGATTTAAAATAGTTTAGCATTTCTATGAACAATTAGTTTGGAAAATAAATATAAAATGGTTATATTTTAAAATAACTTCGCCGTGAAAATCGAAAAATTCTTTAATAAACAATAATTGAAAACGTAAGCGAAATCACTATTAAAACACAATAAAACAATTTTTAATACGTAATATAGTACTTGGTGAGTTTTTAACTGATATTTAAGAGTTCAATAATATTTTTCAAAATAACTCAGTTTTATTAAAAGGTCACTCCAGTTAGAGTATAGTCTGAGCCACGAACTACATTTTTTTAAATGACAGTATTTTTCTCTTTTCGACTAGAATTGAACATATCAAAACCAATAGAAAACTGTGCTTCATTTTAAGCCGTTGTATAAAAATATTTTGAAATGAAAAAATACGTTGATTTTCGATAACGTTCAAAAATATAAGTAAAAAGAGTTTTTGTTTAGAACCCACGAATTAGGTTTTCATACAAAGGTCAATCAAATTACAATTTACTCCTAACCGAATGAAAACTCATACTTTAATTATATAAATTAATTTAATCAACAAACTATTTTTTCATTCTATATGTACGTGGATATCAGACATGATTTTATACTATTGAAGCTACTGTTTTGTCTAAAACTAATATATATTATTAAGCCAATCAGACTTTAAAATATGTATAGAAATATATTAATTAATTAATTGGTTATATTAAATAAAAACAGCTTATGAGAAGTTACGTAATTCTCTATTCAATTTAACATTTGTAAAAACACTGTTTTGCTTAACAAGGAAATATAAAAATATAGGAAAAAAACTTTTTTAATATCCTTTTCAGTTATATACATCTCACTGATGGCTTCGCACACATTATTTTTGGACTAAAACTGTACATTCAATTCGTAAACAGGCCATAAAAGACAAATGATTAATAAATGTAAAAGAAGTCTAATTTAGACATAAAGAAATCATTTCATGTGTTTATGAAAAGTAGTTTATAATGCGACCTAATTTATGCCATCGTTCAAGCTTAACTTTCTGATAACTTAATCAGACGGTTTCATTTGTTGTATTGTTTTATAATATCGATGGATGTATTCAATTTATATATTATATCTGGTTCACTTGTGTTTTACCATATTGTCTTACATTTTATTATTATCAAGGAGGTAGTTATTTTACGAGTACTCGGATAGGCTGACTGTCTTAAGATTTTCCCCGAGATGTAGAAAAACTAGCTTTTCATAAGTCGATTGTTTTAGTTTTTTTCTACAGAAAAAGGTATGCATTGATGCAGAAGTAGCTGTACTTTTTCAGTGGAGTGTTTGACCTTCTACAAAGACGACCTAACTTCTGAGTCTTCATTTTTGTTGAGTTGTCTATTGCTATTAGCCCTATTAGCTTAACCTTGAAACCGGGAAGGATGGATGGTCTCAATAGTACTTAACTTTGAAATGCTGTCCTAGAAGATCCGTCTCTTGGCGAAAGGTATTTCTAAGAGATCGGCTCAGGACATAATTCAAGAGAACTAGTCATCGAAAAATCAAACACCAAAACGTTATCCACGCCAAAAATTCGGATTAAGATGGGATTAGATTCCAAAATAACAAAAGTATATGTCAGTATATGTATTTAAAAACAAATAACAAGCAAAAGTAATAACTCGAAAGATTCAAAAAGTCTTATATATAAAAAGAAACATATTATTTAGCTCTTAATAAAATTTATAAGAGGTAAACTCTACTCACGTTAAAACGTTGAAACCTATTTGTATTCCTGAAGCTCGGAAAAGCAATTACAGTGATTATTGTCTAAGATATTAGTTCTTGCTTAGTTCAGTTAGTGGTATTCGTATTTATTGTTAGCTTGTGGCTGTTACGGGCAGGATTGTTCCTTAGACTTTACACGTTAAAATATGTACCTAGTATCTTTGTATACATATAACAAAGCACTTAAGAATGTTTAGACGAAAAGTTTATTTTCCGTTTGTTTTATTCATGTTACATAAACAATATTGTTTGATTTGATTCAATTTTAAATATATAAATAAATAAATAATTCATAAAAACATTTTTATATTCACTATGATGTCATATATTTCTTATACATATGTACACAGAAATTTTGAAACGGATCCACTTTGTCAATATTGTCATAAGCTATTTTTTTAAACTTTATTCAAATCTTTATTAAATATATAATGTACATGTATGGGATTAAACAAAATAATTACTTTGATCGGTCCTTTGACCCCCGAGAGAATGTACGTGCTACATTAAAAATAAA